TTCCTATATCAATGTCCAAATTTTACATCGAGGACGCACATCTGTGCTCTTCAGCATCCTTATAAGGACTTTTGTTGGCCTACATGACATAAGACTAGAGGTTGACGCATCGGACCAATGTTGTAGTTGCAAGATCATAGAAGAAGATTACGCACGCTGTGAAAAGATCTCACAAGTGGAGGTAAAGCTCATGACATTGAAAGGAATTTTTTCTTGCATATAGCATCAGAGCGCTATTTTTTTGACAGAAATATGTGAGAATTTTTACTTTACCCATATTTGGTTTTCAACGCTATTCTTGCATTGGCCAACGCAAAAAATCTTATCAGGGGCCGCGAAACCATAGGGAATGGGCTATTATTCTTGATAAAATAGTAAACAAAATTCAGCTAACTTACAATCCTTGACAATAGAAATAAAAGTAAAAGGTGGCTCAATGTGTTAAAAATGAGTTTTTATTCATTATTTAAAATAACGAATAAATTATTCGCAAGCAATTTATTCACGAATAATTTATTCGTGAATAAGTTATCTGCGAATAATTATATTACGGATAAAATTTTATTCGAATAATTATCTAAATAACAATTTATTCGAATAATGCCCAACTCTGGCTTGTACCACTCGCTTGGAGTTCGACAACCAGTGCCGCATCTCAAACCCGCCTTCTGCATGAATATAGCGGACATCGGTAGCGAGGTTAATCATTTCGTCTTCATCGTCCATGCTATGCAGCCAGTCATCCACAAATGTGTTTTGGACGATTGCTGCCACCGCGCGGGGCCTCTCCTTCTCAAAACGTAGGGCGTTCTTGTCTTTTATGTAGTTTGCCAAAGACGGAGTTGGAAGGATGTGGTCGAAACTTTCCTTGCTGATTCGCCACTTTTAAAATATCCAAGAGCTGGTTTCCTTGAGTCTTACTGCTGCAGCAATGGCCGCCCGAGCAATTTCATCAAGCGGAGGTAGATGCAAGGTCGCATTTAGGGTATATGACGACGTGGGACATCGTAAATTCGTATAATATAAACATAAAAAACAAAGGAGTCCAGACATATGGGGTTTCTAGAGATTTCGACTGCAGCACCATTATGAATTGCAACCTGATTGTACAATAAGTAGGGATTTTCTAAATAACTCAACTGTAGCACCACCTAGCGGGTCCATTTTTCGCATAAGTATTTTTCATCATGCAGGAAGAACACATTTTGAATTTTAACGAAATCAGTTCATAAATACGGCTTTTATAAATAACTCGGCTCCATCGCCACAAAGGAGTTTTCTAGTAGCCTTTAATAGGACTTAATGCGCATGGAATAACCTCCGAAAATTTGATTTAAATCTATCTAGGGGTTTGAGTTAAATCACAATAACGAAAACGGTTATCATTTTATACATAAATATATATACATATCTATATACATAAATTACTTGTTTTATTATTATTTTATTCGTTATTCGAATAATTAATGAAGATAATAATTATTCGAATAACGAATAACATAATTTATCCGTCATTCGAATAATTTTTTTTTGAATAACCAAAATTATTTATTATTTACGAATAACAAGAAAAACAATTTATTCATTTGTTATTCGTCATTCGAATAAATTTTGCCCAACTCTGGTACAAGCGCTCACAAGTGAGTCCGAGCCCATAGACAAGTGCATTCCAGAACCAGGGGAGGAGTTCCAAAAGGTTCTGGTGTGGTGGCTGTCGAGCAGCGACGAGATCACATTCGTCCACAAATTCAAGCCGCAGGTTTTCGACGAGTCCACCCAACCAACAAAGCGGCAGATTCTTCGAGTGGTGATGTCTATTTTCGACCCTCTGGGCCTACTCGGCTTCTTCGTTGTTAAGGCTAAGATGATTTTGCAGGATGTATGGCGATCAGGTGTAACTTGGGACGAAATCGTACACGATCAGGAACGCTCAGAATGATGGCAGTGGGTGCGAAAGCTAAGTCACATCGACAAATTCCGAATCCCACGTTGTTATCTCTGGGCGAACCGCAGCGACGACAATCAGCTTCACGTTTTTGTTGACGCGAGCATATCAGCGTATGCAGCAGTAGCATACCTGCGATCAACCACAGCCGGAAAGATTCACTGCAGTCTCGTGGCATCGAAAACCCGAGATCCCCCGTTAAAGCCGATTTCAGTACCAATGCTTGAGCTGATGGCAGCCATTTTGGGGCTCCGCCTAGCTAAGCTCATTCAGGAGGTGCTCTCTATACCCATAAACTGTCGGAGTTTCTGGTCTGACTCAAAAGACGTCCTATTTTGGATAGGATCAGACGCGAGAAAGTTCAACCAGTTCGTGGCCGTTCGGATTGGTGAGATANGCAAAAGATGTCCCATTTTGGATAAGATCAGACGCGAGAAAGTTCAACCAGTTCGTGGCCGTACGGATTGGTGAGATACTCCAGGATTCACAAATTAGTGAGTGGCGATGGGTGCCGACGAAAGACAACGTCGCGGACGACGGTACTAAATGGAACCCAAAATTCGAGTTTGGTACCGCTACCAGATGGGTCACAGGTCCGAAATTCTTGAGACTACCGAAGACTTCATGGCCGGTCTCTGAATTCGAACAGCCACAACCTACAACAGAAACGATACAGCATATGACGGCCAATAGTACTACTAGTGAGGATGCGTCACCAGACCCCAAAAGATTCAGTAAATGGGAAAAACTACGCGCTGCGCAGATGTGTGTTCTCCGTTTTCTTCGCTTAACGATGAGGGCTGCCGTGAAAAACCCCATCACTCACACGCTCCTCCACGACAGAACCTGTATAAGCGCCGAAATTCTGCTCTTTCGCAAGTGTCAGCTAGAATGTTACGGCGATGAATTTGAGCAACTGAAAACGGGTGCGGTAAGTCGTAAAAGCTTAATCTACAAGTTTTCCCCATTTATAGACGAATATGGGCTGCTACGCGTAAAGGGTCGGATCGATGAAGCAAGGGGAGTGGCAGTGGATCTGAAACAACCGATAATACTCGCAAGAAATCACAGCGTTACTCCTCTGATCACGGATTTCTACCACCGAAGGTTCCATCACCATCATAATGAGATAGTTGTGAATGAGATGAGACAGCGATTCTGCGTGCATGGTCTACGAGCATTGGTAAGAGCAGTCGCCAAGGCCTGCCAACAATGTCGTAATCGACGAGCTACTCCAAACCCGCCGGAAATGGGCAGGCTACCAGCGGAGCGTCTATCAGCATTCACTCACCCATTCGCATTCACGGGCGTCGACTACTTTGTGCCCTTTGACGTGGTGGTTGGACGACGGCATGAAAAGCGTTGGGAAGTCGTGTTTACCTGCATGACCATACGAGCGGTACATATTGAGATTTCGCCCTCACTCTCGACCGACTCATTTCTCCTAGTATTGAAAATGTTCATATCCAGACGGGGAGTTCCCCGGCAAATCATTTCGGACAACGGCACAAATTTCCGAGGTACTAGTCGCATATTGGCCGATGAGATCGAAAGGCTGTCATCTGACGCGCTGGTGAGAAAACACCCTGAAATCGAGTGGGCCTTTATACCACCAGCCGCACCCCACATGGGCGGCGCGTGGGAGCGCATGATCCGAACGGTGAAGGCTGTACTGATGGATATATTACCAAAGAGTTTTTTACGCGAAGAGGTGCTGAGAGCGGCGCTAGCCGACGTCGAAAATATCATAAATATGCGACCCCTTACTTACATTCCGCTGGATTCGTATGAGTGTGAAGCTTTAACGCCAAACCACTTTCTCCTAGGCAATTCAAGCGGCATACGCGAAAAGGATGACTTCGATGCGGGTATGCCTACGTTGAGCGAGAACTTCCGTGCCGCTGGCGACTTAGCTGATCGATTTTGGAGACGATGGATACGCGAGTACCTACCGGGCCTAACCAGACGCGCGAAATGGTTTGAAAATCCACAAGCACCCATTGCTCCAGACGACGTCGTCATCATTGTTGATGAAAATGCGAAACGGAATAGGTGGACAAAAGGAAGAGTGCTGGATGTCATAGGCGGTAGCGATAGGCAAATCAGAAGTGCAGTAGTGAAGACGTCTAGTGGTTTAGTGACTCGCCCCGTGGTGAAACTTGCGCGCCTAGATCTGAAATCAGTGAACCCCACGGCGGAGCATGGAGTTCGCGGAGGGGGGAATGTTAGCGCGCAATAAGTCTGTGCAGCCTTAAGTTTAATAAACTTGTACCATAAATTGCAACCTTGTGGATGTATGTCTCTCAGCCGCTGACATGAGCGCTCTTTCTGTCAAGTTGTTAGCGCTAAATGTTTCTTATGTATGTGTATTTTAGCACAAACGTATCAAAGCATTAAAATCGTCGAATATAAAGCATTTGTACGTGCTACCGCTCAAAATACGTGTTTTATTTGCTCACTCGTCAACAGTGTACCATGATTTTTCAATCAATGTCAGACTTTTTGAGCACTTTAAAAAGGTAAATGTATTCAGTTTTCAATAAAAAACAGTTAGGGAATAAAAAATTGGGGTTCATGGTCGTAAAAGCTGAAATTTTAAAATAATAATTTCAATTTGAACATATTTCCGATTAAAAAATCAAAATGATCAACCCGGAACCACTCGGAATTTCCGGATCCGGAAAAAACAAATTTCATATTTATTTTCCTTGCCACCCTCATGTTTTTTCGTGCGAAAACTTTCGGTTTTTTTTAAAATCGACCAAAAAAGGCCACTCTAATGCATATCTATTAGGGCTGTGCGATTATTCGATTACTCGAGCAAGTTGGTTAATCATTTATTCGGTTAATCAATTACTAGAGTGATCAAGATTTTGATTACTCAAAACGATGATTAATCGAGTTACTTGAAATATGATTACTCAAAAAAAATAATATTGCTCGTTAAAAGAGTTTGCTTTGGAAAATGCTTATTCTCTTTTTTACATTCTGTATATGAAAAAAAATTTTCGTTTTAATTTTTGAAAACAGAAACGTTGTTTTCAAAGTATCAAGGAACTTCAACTACTTTATACATATGTAAGGAGTTGAAATGTTGATTACTCATTTTACTCGAAATGTTGATTAATCATAAAGCAACTTACTCAAATATTTTTTTTTTGGTTAATCAAAAATCTTGATTACTCGAGTAACTGAACTTTTGAGTAATCATAATTTCCAATTAATCGAATAATTGAGTTATTTACTTTATGATTAATTAAAATTTTGAGTAATCAATTAATCGCACAGCCCTAATAACTATATAGTTTTGATGATTTGAAGATTTTAACTTTTAACGATGCAAAGTGAAGTGTATGTATGTATATACCTACATATATACTGCTGCAAATAATTATAAACTCAAAGTGATTTTAAATGCAGGTATGAACATAAAAGTGCAAATAAGTTTTGCATTGACTACACGCGTGATGCGCAGACCTGAACATGCCCTAAAGTGGCACTAGCCAAGGCAGGTGTTGCACTTGACTGATGTCTCATTACGGAATCCTGGTCTGACATACCGTGCAGATTGTAGGAGGAACCAAGAGTTGCTGGCGGCGGCGTGTGGGTGGTGGTGCGGTTGTGTGTGTTCTGTGGTCTGTCGCGATTGTGGTGTGGTCTGTTGTGTTATGTTGTTGTGCTGTGGTGTTTGTGTGGGGCTACTCAGGTGGACTGGGAGGAGCCGTGGAGGCTGCTCTGTTGGAGCAGCAGGGGGCCACAAACGACGCGGTCCACTGCCGATGTGTCCGTGGTCCTGAGCAGACTCTGAGGTGACTCCACCCCTCGCAAGCATTGCACTTGACTGAGGTGGAGTTGTGGTGTAGTCGTCTCTGGCATACACAGCAGGTTTTGGTTTCTGGCCCTGGGTTTGACTCGATGCCAGCCCTGAGTAGAAGAAAACGTAGCGAATGTAGCTCTATGGACGAACAACTTCTGAGATACTTCGCCGACCTAAACGGGGTTAGATCGCCGAAACAACAGCCCTTGTCTAGTTCCCTTATCTGCGGACCCAGTACCATCGCCACGTAAGCCTGCCCTTTAACACCCTTTTTGGTCATATTTATTCTTATAATAATCAGAATAAACTACAAAAATATACGTATGTATCAATGTTGAGTCAGATTACTCTAAGCGCGTGATATAATTTGAGTTTTCTTAAGTGTACACATGTGTGTGTGTGTGATGAACTAAACTTTGGATGACATGACTTGTGATGTGAACCTTCCGTCCGTTTACGTCGTATGCGTAACGTAAATATCACCCCCTTTTTGTACTGCACTCTAAATCAAATGGAATTGAAACTCTTCCACCTGTAGTAGCAGCGCAGCAATCTTTGTTAATGAAATTAACTGAGGCTACCATATACACCTCCAACGAAAATACCTGAGGCATAGCAGTCACCTCACAACTTCACACCTTTGCCTAGGAAGTTACCTCATAAGATTCAAACACAAATGAAATATTAGTAACAACCTCCTATTTCCTTAATGTTATATCCTAACCACATATTACACGGCTTTATGTCGCCAAGTAAGCTGGCAAAGATGAGCCCTACCCCCTTAAAACGTCCGTCAACCAAGGATAAGACGCGCTTGATTAACATATATATATTGAACGATAAAAAAAATAAAGTAAAATCTGTGGAACCCACTCTTGGTGGCTCCACGTTGGGCGCCATTTCTATTGTTGCCAGGGCCGAGGCACGCGATACCGGCTTACTACCAAGCGTAGTGATCTACCCGGGTACACTTGCGTCCAGCTCAGCCTAGCTCGCCGGTTTGAGCTGGGTTTCCGTAGATCACCCGCGACGCTCCGTATACCGCGCCAACAATAAAAAAAAAAATCGTGCCCGCATGGCCACAAGCCAGTTGACAAATACCACGACCGTAAATGAAGCCGCGTCTGACCCTGATCACCACCTGCTGTCCACATTCCGTCAAGTCACCCCTATGTACCTGTCCCCGTCCTGCACAGTCCCGCGGTTTGCCTCTATGAACTCGAGGCCGGCCTATCCGCCCTTTCCGTCCTTTGCTGATCCTGGCCTTGGCGGATCAGCCTCTAAATTCGTATCGCATGAGTTATTCACACCATTTGTCCGTCCCCCCGTCTGTCCGCGCTCCTCCAAGACAATGAATCACCTCACCGGTTTCGCGGGATCACTTGAATTGATTGGGTTGGCATGGCTCGATGCCCCCATCATTCAGTAAATTCATCTGCCGATCTGTCCGTCCGCTTACCCTTATATCCATCCGATATGCTCCTCATCCTAGGCCTCGCTCACCACACACACACATGATTCTTCTTTAACAATTCATTTTGGCTCTATTTCAAATNTATCACTTGAATTGATTGGGTTGGCATGGCTCGATGCCCCCATCATTCAGTAAATTCATCTGCCGATCTGTCCGTCCGCTTACCCGTATATCCATCCGATATGCTCCTCATCCTAGGCCTCGCTCACCACACACACATGATTCTTCTTTAACAATTCATTTTGGCTCTATTTCAAATTATTATCTTGCATAAATGATGTATTCTTACACCTAACTACAAGCGTCCTCTATTTCAACAGTACAACTAGTACAACTATTTATAAGTATCCTAACGGAAATTTTATGAATGGAACGTGTTACTTATATGCAGATAAACGCCCTAAATTGGTGAAACGTGTAACCACTTCCCTACTTACACTCAACGCTATGCAAACATTCACCTGCCCATTAAGTAATCGCGTCCTCAAACTTATAACTTCTAGCCAATTTGAGAGGATTATTCGTAATTTCTAACTAAGCTAGTTATATAACTATGATGCCGATCTAGTAATCTTCTCGTAGTGTTGAAAGGTCACTTCCGACCTAAATAACCGGCCAGTGTTGTCGTGAATTGNTCACGTACTAGAAAAGTGGTGAAACGTGTAACCACTTCCCTACTTACACTCAACGCTATGCAAACATGCACCTGCCCATTAAGTAATCGCGTCCTCAAACTTATAACTTCTAGCCAATTTGAGAGGATTATTCGTAATTTCTAACTAAGCTAGTTATATAACTATGATGCCGATCTAGTAATCTTCTCGTAGTGTTGAAAGGTCACTTCCGACCTAAATAACCGGCCAGTGTTGTCGTGAATTGAAACACGTGGTCACTCCACGGAATTTGTACGTATGCGCAGCGCATCCGTGTGCACTTTCGCACCAATAATTACCACACTTCTTTAAAAATAATATATATGTACCTTACGCACCATAAAGTGAAGGTACCTGCGACTCTTGGTACCTTCGATAACTTAGCTCAGTTGGCTAGGGAGCCGTTGATTCCAGGAAAGTTCGCTCCTTGATTTTAACCTGGAATTTCACAGAATTTACGAGGTAATTTTCGCAGGTGACCACGTTTCCAATCATATACCTCCGACGTGCTGCCGTGAAAACGGTTGTTGGTTTCCCGAGAGCAGCGTTTTCTTTCTTTATTCTTATTGCTGAGCCGTTTTTATTTTGCCGGGGTTTAATAAACTTTGGTTAATCCGCCAGCTTGAATTGCGCCCTCACTTTCCGACTAGAAGATTGTCAAGCGGTTAGTCTTTCCTACCTATCCTTTTCTGATCGATTGAATTTTCCAGCACGTCTTTACTCTCCGATAGAATACTTAGAAAGGACGGAATTAACAAACTTAGCTGTGTTTGTTTCAGCAGCTACCTAGGGCGTGTTTGGAAAGTCAATTAACGCCGCCTAGGTGGGTTACACTTTTTGACTGGCCGCACTTATTGCCGGACATATTGCTGAGAAACTTGACCATCTACCATCAATCGCAACAATAACTATTAGAAAATGGTGATTTTGGAAAGGGTGGCGTAGTCAATATGTAGCCTTTCCCAATTCCCGTTTAGTTCCTCCCAATGATGAAGTGGAACTTTTGCGGGTTTTGATTGAACCTGGACGCACGCCTCACACGATCTTACCATTCTCTCAATATCACGATCGATTCCCTTCGAGCAGCAGTATCTTCTTGCGAATTATTTCATTTTTGTTATGCCTGAATGTGTACGGTGGAGTTCACGTAAAATGTTGGGCTGTATGTCCTTGGGAATCAAAATTCTCTGACATTTGAATATTACGCCATTGTAAAGAGTATAATTGTTTTCGTTTTCATTTGTATAAAGAAAATTATTTAAAATTTTCAAAATATCAGGGTCTTTTGCCATTTC